AGAAAAAAATAGCTAAATTAATGAATAAAAATATTGAAGAATATATAATATATTGAAAGAGTAAAAAGGAAAAAAAATATGTAAACGCCATTTTAAAGTTACATAGTAAAATGCTACGTTAATTAAATATGGTAAGAAAATTAAATAAATTCTAAAATTAAATAAATTTTTAAAAAATATATGTACATACATACATGTTTTTTACGAAAATTTATATTTTTTATCTTACATTACCCAGAAAAACACAAAATCCAAAATTTTTTAATATCATGTCCTGATTTTGGATTTTGTATTGTTTGGAAAGATTGTTGATTTTTCAATATTGATAATACTATTTTATCAAACATATGCATTCTATTTTATCGACAATCAATTAACGAAGATAAATTTTACCACGTTTTATTAAGCGAAAGCGACATCTACGCTGTGTCCAGCTGCTGTGCCGCAGAAGGCGCAGAATAGTGTGCGTATTCACGGAAATTTTGTAAGTTCTTCGATGACGAGAAAATCATAATATAAGTAGTGTATTGATATTTTGTTGGAAATACAGTCACGTGGAAAATGCCTGCGCAAGAAGTGGCGTTGCCACAACCACCGGCCACGGAAAACGAGGAAAACAACGTTCCCTCCTCACAGCCGATCGTGGGCATCATTTACCCACCTCCTGAGGTTAGGAGTATCCTTTACCAAGAACATTGTCGAACAAAAGCTGCGTTTACCAAATATATTTGTATTAGATTTATATATTAAAAACTGATGCGATACATATCAGAAGAACGTGTATATAATGATGTATGTGTCATCATTTGTATTAAACCTGTCCAAATTTTATCCGAATCTATGAAGAGAATATGAGAGAGAATGGATGCTAGAATTCTATCCCCTCAGTTGCGTTGCTATAAATCAATATTTTTCTTCTTCCTTGCTGAGAGGGAATCACCTTTGTGAAATGAAAAAAATAAAAGCTTTTAGCTCGCAAGTTAAAGCTTGGACAGGATCAATTTATATCATCAAATTAAACTAATTTATTATTAATTATATTATTTAGATATATATCGAGTGAGTATAAATTAAGTTATTGCTTGGCATAACCATTCTTTTTTCCTTATATAGAAATTTAGATATCGTTGACAAGACCGCTAGCTTTGTAGCTAGAAATGGGCCAGAATTCGAGTCTAGAATTAGACAGAATGAATTGGGCAATCCCAAGTTTAATTTCTTGAATTTCGGTGATCCTTATCATGCTTACTATCAGCACAAAGTAAAAGAGTTCAAAGAAGGGAAAGGACAAGAACCTACAATAGGTTTGGCTCCAGGAAAAACTGTTAATCTTACTGCACATCAAAAGCAGCAAGAAATCTTGAAACAAGTTGAGCAACCATTTGTACCTAAGGATCCACCAACTGAGTTTGAATTCATTGCAGATCCTCCTTCTATATCTGCTCTAGATCTGTATGTAATAATTATACATAAGCATGATCATTACATATATATAAGATTGATACTATTGGTAAATGTTTTTTTTTTCAGAGACATTGTAAAACTAACTGCCCAATTCGTCGCACGTAATGGAAGGCAGTTCTTAACTAATCTAATGAATCGCGAGCAAAGAAATTTCCAGTTTGATTTTTTGCGCCCTCAGCATTCCTTGTTTCAATACTTTACCAAACTTTTGGAGCAGTATACCAAGGTAGATAAATAATAACTATTCTATTTTAGATTCGATATAGATTTACTGTTTATACAAAAACAAAAGATTTCAATACTCTTTGTAGGTGTTGATTCCACCAAAAGATTTATTACCGCGTCTGAAAGATGAAGCTTTCAATATGGATAAGATTTTAGAGCAGGTAAAATATCGTGCCGAGTATTTAAAATATCAGGAGGCACAGCGGCGCAAGGAGGAAGAAGAGTTGGAAAGAGAGAGAGTTGCTTATGCGCAAATTGATTGGCATGACTTTGTTGTGGTTGAGACGGTAGACTATCAACAATTTGAAGTCGGTAATTTCCCAGCACCGACGACTCCGGACGAAGTTGGCGCACGTGTTCTCATGCAGGTTTGATCCCAATTTGAGATTCTTTCGTTAATTTTATTTTATGTATGAAATAGTTATGATAATTGATAATTATATGCAAATCAAATATATTAATTAAGACAATTTATAGGAACGTATAGAGGAAGGTGAGGATGTAGAGATGCAAATTGATAGTGATGCAGAAGAGGAGACGCAAACTCGTGTGGAAGGCGAGAAAAGCGATCGCGCGAAAGATAATAATCAAGTGAGTGTATTTTATTATCTATTGTGCAATATATATTTGTTATGATATAAATATTTGTATTGTATCGTGACTTAATATTTCTAGGTGCAAGATATGGAGGAAGATTCTAGTGATGAGGATGATGTTTCTCCACCAGGTGACACTCATAAATCTAAAGAAGCTAAACCGCGAGAAATGAACATGCAGCCACCTCCGTTGCCACCTACACCAGGAAATGTGGTAGTCAAGAAAGGATATGATCCGAAACAGCATGGTAAGCATATTTTTTATCAGTAATCATAATTAATTATTCAATACTCAAATATAAATATCTTATTTTCATTGTTTTTATAGCTACTAAAACTACTCGTCCTGCGGCTCCGGATGAATATCTAATTTCACCAATTACTGGTGAACGCATTCCTGCTAGTAAAGTGCAAGAGCATGTGCGTATTGGATTGTTGGATCCTCGTTGGGTTGAGCAGAGAGATAAGCATTTGGATAAATTAGCGCAGGAGACTGTATTCGCACCGGGTACAGCGATCGAAGCAAGTCTCAAGCAACTCGCCGAAAGGCGTACCGATATATTCGGTGTAGGCGATGAAGAAACAGCGATTGGTAAGAAGATTGGTGAAGAGGATAAGAAAAAGGATGACAAAGTTACATGGGACGGTCATACATCGAGCGTGGAAGCGGCGACGAGAGCGGCGCGCGCTAACATTACATTGGAAGAACAGATTCATCAGATACACAAGGTCAAGGGACTTCTACCTGACGAGGAGAAGGAGAAGATTGGTCCAAAACCGGTGAATCGCGCGACTGAGCTTTCTCACATGGCTGCTGCCGCTTCAAAGCCGCAAGCCACGCTGAAAGCACCTCCGAAACCTCCTGCACCGAAACCTTTACCGGTACCCGCCCAACCTCCTCCACCGCCGACTATGAGTATGCCCACTATGGGCATACCTCAGCCGATGATGCCGCAGGCACCGATGATGATGATGGCACCTATGCCACCTATGGCGCCCAGACCACCACCTTTGATGAGTATGAAACTTTTTCACACATATCTTGATACATATCTTTTGTTGTATCGTATTTTAATAGATAAATCTAATTCAAATAAAATAATTGTCGCAGCTCCAGCGATGTCACCGTTCATGCCAACACCACCACCAATACAGCCGCCGATGACATCCGCTGTAAGTAGTAGTAGTTTGTTATAAAGTATAATCATACAAATTATTTAGAGTTTTATATTTTAAGATATAATTAATTTGACTCTTTTTCTTTTTCAAAGATGGGATTAAAACATCCTGCTAATAAACCATTGGAAGAAGAACCGCAAACTAAGAAATTGAGAACCGAGGATTCATTAATTCCAGAGCAACAATTCCTCGCTAGAAATAAGGTAAAAAAATTAATATCCAAAATTAATTTACCAAAGAGTTCGAGCTATGATTGATTGTCTAAAAGAAATTATTTTTTTTTTTCAGGGTCCCGTACAAGTTAATATTGCTGTGCCTATGATGACAGAAAAGGCTGAATGGAAATTGAATGGACAGACATTGAATATTACTTTACAAATAAGTGATACTGTAGCGACTATGAAAGCGCTTATTCATGAGCAAATTGGTATGCCGCCTGGCAAACAAAAGTTGCAATATGAGGTAAGGATTTCTTAATTTATTTTTTTTGTTTGTACACGAAATATCACATTGTATAAATATATAATTTTTGTTTTCAGGGAATGTTTTTTAAAGATAACAATACTCTTGCATATTATAATTTAACTTCAGGCAATATTATCAATTTGTTACCAAAGGAAAGAGGTGGCAGAAAAAAATAAATAAAAAATATGAACACAAGGTAAAAATTTATAATCGTTATAATTATGGTATACTAATTTTATTGCTGTAACTATTTTAAGACAAAGTAGGTATATATGATCAAAATATATATCATATTTATTCAAAATTCTTATGTAACAGTTTTAATATTTATGATATAATTTTAATAAATATTAAATATAATCTTTTTTATTATAAATCAAGCTCTTCAATAAGATTTACTTACAATTTGATTGATATAAATATAGTATTAGCTATAACAAATTATGAATTGCTATAATTTATAATTTTTCATAGATTTATCTCTCTTACTCTACAATCTTTAAAACTTTAAAGAAATAAATGCGTGTAATATTTCAGACAATATAAAATCTAAAATTGGATTGACATCCTTAAAATATCTTTCCTGATTTTAGATTTTATACTATTCGAGATACTATTTATAATATTAGTTAAAGCTAAAGATAACAAAATTTTTTACATATTGTACAAAATATTGTACGAGAGATTCTCATTCATATATAACATGCTTTTCTCGAGATATAATAAAAAGTACATTTTATGTAAAGTTCAATATCCTAAATATCCCAAATAATTTAAAAATGTATAGAAAAATTTTATCGAAAACCACAAGTCTTTGTATTTTCCTGAAAAGACATCGTACATAAAAGGCCTCTTATTTTGAAACATATTGTTATATATACATATTGTTATATTATACAAGATTTACATGTTCTTCTATTCGCTTCTTTTCTTCAATATCTGATTTATGATTTTGCGATAACGTATAGTCATGGGTTTATAAATCTAAAAATGTTGATTAATATATCATCAATTTATAATAATAAAGGATATTAAAAGAATTGTTTCACTTACGGATTCGGCATCATTATAAGGTTGGCATACCAATGTCAGTTCTGGTAAGCAACGTGTAATTTCGTCAAAGCTGCAATTATTTCGTAACAAACCATGTTTCGCTTGATATGCCGCACCCATCATTGCCGAATTAGCTGCTTCCTGTTGAAGAAAATTTATATATATATGAAATACATATGTAAAATGCATAATAATAAATGAAAATTGTTATCGCAATATATTTACCGAGATATACACTGGTGAATTAAACACGTCGGAAAGCACTTGCAGTATAGCTTTATTAATAGATGCACCTCCCGTAGCGATAATTCGCGTATTAGATCCTTAGAAAAAAAGAATATATTATTGGAGATTTTTATAAAATAAGATCATAAAGGAGAAATTTGGAAAGACCTACTTACCGATAGTAAATCCAAAATCTTCAGCGTGCGCTCTCTTCGCAACAAATTGACCTTCGATCAGTGCTCTGACTTCCACTTCTTTGGAACTGTACCGAGAGATCTCGTCGTTGGCTTTATTGTATCTATAATCGCCAATAACGAAAGGTAGGATTTCTTGCGTATCGAAGTACAAGGCAAAGTTGCCAAAGTTCCCTCGTGGCGTACTCTCCAATAATTCGTTAAATATCTGCCAGCTACCTTGCGCAGCATCATTTCGTATCCGTTCGCGCGTTAAGGAGCCGTTTTTAAAGCTGCAATAAAAAATTATTATTTTTATATCGTCGTCGTAATAATCGTGATAGAGAAAACTTACCAAAGTAACGCCATATAAGCCTGATCGTCTACGGGATTGCACAGCACATGGCCGTCCGTTATGGTCTTGGGTTCATTCAACCATAAGAATAAGGTATCGCTCGTACCCAAACTGCAAGCGATATCACCTTCTTTTAGCCTCATACCTACATATTCATTCTTATCGTGAGTACAATAGGATATCTTGAAGCTGTTGTTCGTTACGTTAAGGAAAAGTCATCGCTGAGTGCACAAGTAATTACATACCTACCAAGGAGCTAGGATTATCTCCGGTGAATGCGATTATTCTACATTTCTCGTTAAAACCAAATCTCTCTACAAAGTAAGGCGATATAGGACCGACGTCGGTGTACGACGAAACGGGTTTACCCAGTTTCTCTCTCAGCCCCGACGCGCAAGTCTGTCAAATATGTTACATTAAATACATGGCGGCGAAACATTAAATATTATACATTTACAACACTATTTTTACCTCCAGTAACAAATCATCCCAGTCTTTCGTACGGATATTTAACAAATTCATACCCGAGCCATCCGACCAATCAATGGGCGCATAATCACCCAGGAATAAGGAGGCGATAAAGTTGCTCACCAACGAGATCCTCTAAAGAGGGAGAAAAAAAGAACAGGATACACATAAATGATAATGTTCGACTCAGACATATTTTAAAAGCGGCACAAAGCGTATAATAGAGAGCTTTGATCATTCAGATACAATTAGAGGCATTAATTCACACGGTTCTCGCAGGAACTTTCAGATTATATTAGCATTAGAAGAGGCAGTCTATATATAACTATATTTCTATTTTCTAAATTAATATCTTTTCTCACGTATTTAAGATGCAAATTTCGAATTTTTAATTTTTCACTAATTAATAAAAAGAAGTCAATAAAGGACGATATATGGTGTATAAACTAAATAAGTAGACTACTCCCTGGATCCTTTTTAGTGCTTTAATTAATATTATTATTCTGATAAAGCATCAAATTCAGAAAATTTTTAAATTCTTTTTAGTTTTAATACTAGAAAAAAATAACATTAATTGTGAAAACACGAATAAATCAACGGCAAGCTGAATGCAAACTCTATTACTCTAACTGTCACGCGTTAATCCATACGTTTCGTAAAAAAATTGCCAACAAAAAATGAAATACTCGTAAGGTAAGCAACGTACAATCAGTACAGAAATTCAATTCAATCAGTATAGCCATACGTAACGAATACCTCGGTCGGATTGCCGTTTTCATTTTTTTCGAAGGAAGCCACGAGTTTTTAGTAGGTAATACCTCAGTGCTGCGGTAGGCTTCCGGCTTCGTGCGTGCTATTTTCGCTATCTGCGGTCCCGAGAATCTCTCGTACGCCCGCGAACCCGTTATTTCCGCTAATTTCTGAAATCACACGCTGCATGGATGAACACCGTCGACCACTGCGTACGCTAAGTCTAAGGCGAGAACTACTTTAAATATTTGGCCAATACGTTTTCTCGCGTGGTAACAACCGCCGCGGCCGTACAGCTGATGTTTCGCATTACTGAAATAAACTCTTGTGAAAGCTATAATGTTAGCCAATAAACGTACGCATTTGTATAAACTTTATAACATATTTTGCCAGATTCGTGTGTACTTCGTGTATATTTCTCGCGTACACGTTGTGTAATCCGTTGTTATTACATTATTACGGGTTAAAGCGAACGGAGTTGAGGGCATGCTTACGTGTGGGCCACCCACGATTTCCTCCAAAACGCTACACTCCTTCGACGTACTCGAGTCCATCCATACGGACGAGTGAGCCACGGAAAACGACGTGGCGAATTGTTCGTGCAAGAATTTTATGGGATCCAAACGCTGTAACCGATCACGGCTGCCCTTGCTCCAGTAGACCGTCCCATGTTGCTGCTCGTGCAAATTAGCATATCTTAGATCACCTATGGAACACCTTTGAAATAATCGAGTTTGTTTTAAATGTAGCCGTGTTACCTGCGCGCAACCAGAAATAGCTGCTACTTTATTAAAATCGACGCCACAAATGCGCAATTTGTCTAATATCATATCCAAGGCTTTGACCCACATTAGGGAAGGCACCACCACAATGCGCGGTTCTTCCTTCTTCCGTATAACTCCTCCGTAAGTCCTACAATTTGCATTCTTGTTAACGTAATGTTTAACATACGACGTCAAATAGCGTTTTCTTTTGACGTACATAAAAAAAAAAATTTTATTAGTCTTAAATTAAAACAGATATTTTTATATATAAGCAAGTATATTTATCATTTTCTTAAAGAAAGTTTTAATTTTGATTTGATTGAATTTGTATTGATGCACAAGTATAAATATTCTTATATATATAATATTATAAATATTATAATCTTCATATTTTTAGTCTTGAATTGAACAAAAATAATATATCAATAGAAATTCAATCAAAACAAGATTAAAATTTTCTAAGAAAATGATAAATATACTTGCTTATATATGAAAATATCTGTCATGATTTAAAATTAATTTTTTTTAAATTTTCTAATTTTTATATAAGAATATCTTGAATTAAGATAATCTTTTTCTCTCTCTGTGTGTGTGTGTGTGTGTGTGTGTGTGTGTGTGTGTGTGTGTGTGTGTGTGTGTATTTTGATAAATACATAATCACAATAATCCTCATTATTATTACTCATAATATATATAAAAATATTCATGTTTATAATTTTCTTTAAATAAAATCTAATCGAAAGCTCTAATTTTATCATAGAGAAACAAGAAACAAAATTATATTTTTATCACAGAGATTTCCTTGTAGTACCGAAATTCCGGTAGATCATTGTCGAATTGTACGCTGGTCTCGTGAAGGACAGCCAGATTATCGTCGACCACTACCGCCTTCAACTGAAATCAGATCGAATGAGATTCATTAAATCAGACGCGAGTATCGTTGATGATCTTACAGAATAATTCTCGCGTGACCGTACACTCCGATAAATGGCAATAAAGGGTAAACGGAGTAATATAGCGCAATGCGAGAGAAAATTCTTTAGAGGGCTATACTATGCTATGCAATTATTTATATTATTGTCGTCGGAACGATTCGCGATATTAATTATCAGCCATATACTTCTATCACATTTTTGCCATTTCGCAGATACGCTTTTCCCTCAACGTGTATCTGCCGGCGGATTGCTCGTGTTATCGCGCTATTAGATAATAATGACCCCCCCGGAGATGTCAGAGCGCCTCGCGATGTCTCTTTCAATTCGATCTCGCGCGTTTCCTGCGTATAGAATACCGTCGAATACCTTACGAAACCGCCGACATCGAGTATTGACATACTTTGCAACGCGTAACGTGCGCGTCAAGCGAATCCCCCCCCCTCCCCCGCGCACCCTCGGGTCATCTCCGTTCGACGCTAATGAAACTGGTAAACATACTTCCTAAGGTTATCACTCCCCAAGTGAACGGGGGCAACGACGAAGTAACGAGCGTTAATAAATTGAATCGCGCGATGATTGATGGAGGGACTTGAAGAGTCCAATTTAAATTTTAATTTGAACTCTCAAAGACTCCTATGTGTTATTTTACGTCGATCCCCACGATTACCGATAATTAGCGCGTTGAAGCTACCCGCTACCCCTTTTGTTATCCTTTTTTTCCCAGAAACATCCGGCACTCTTAGGGAAACGAGATTTGCATCGCATGCACTGATTTATGTAATTATAATATTCCGTGCAGCCGTAGGTCTTTGAGCATCGTTAAGAAATTAATTGAGAATTCTCTGGCGGCCTATTCTTAATCGACGTGAATTTCAATGATCAATTTTCGATGGCTACGAAAAAAATTTATCTTAGATTTGTATTATCTGACATTCCTACATGAATACGCGAAAATTTTTGTCAAGAATCTAAAAAAATTTTGCCAGATTTGGAAGTAATTTTGTTAGACCAAAATAATTTATAGGACGTTCAAATTGGTTGTTAGAATATAAAAAAATTTTTAGTATTTATTATTATTATCATAGTCAAATTTTTGGATTCTTCTTTAGAAAATCATTCTTCCCCTTGTAGAAATGACCATTTTTGCGTGTCTATACAGCGTCATAACTTCGAACCTTTAAAATCTCATTTCATTCATATTGATTTAGTCTTCACTTCCTTCCCTCCATAAAAGAAACAATACACATGAGTGTAGGATGATGAAAAATGCTTGTAAATACTTTTGAGATTAAAATGTCAAGTACACGAAAAAAAAAAACAGTTTTGCTGAAAAATCTAAAAATAAAATTAATATATATTATGTTCAAATGAGCTAGAAAATAAAAATTTTTGCAGCAATTTTTAATAATATTTAAGTGTCCCACATAATAATTTTGATCCAACAAAATCAATTTCAGATCTGTATCTGGCTAAATTCGTAGATTTGTTATCAAAAATTATTTTCTCCTATGTACCGACATTGTTATGTCAATACGATCATCGATCGAGTTCCACATGTAGTAGTCATCGCAACTTCTTAACGCGCGAGTGCACCGTTAAGCGTCGCGAGAGATCACGCACCAAGCACCAAAAGTCGCGAGTGCTCTTGAATTCCTTGATCCTCGAATACCTTTCCCGAACGATAGGACAAATATCCCCACGAGAAATTCAAAAGTAAAACAATCGAGAGACACGAGTCGATATTCCTCTGCCGCTTCTCTCGTTCTTCGTTCGAATCGCGTGTTTAACGCACATGACGCGCAGCCGCTACTTTCGCGTGTCAATTTCCGCGTTTCCTGTCCTCGTGCGATTCTCAGCACAAGTAGCACGTTGCCAATCGGATTCGCCGTTTTTTTTACCTGCTGCGTGCTCAGATCTAGGCCCAGGTACGTCGCCGTCGATGGCTCGTCCGTGTTCCCGTCCATGCGTGAGATCTTCGAGAAGGAGAGACGCGTCTTGGGACCGGCGATGGAGAACGGGACCGTCGTATCACGTCGTTTCTTCGGCGGCGTATCCGCACGCTGCTTTGCCACTCGGAGGACTAAGTGCGGAGGAACGCGCGGGCCCGTGCTCGACCCACGGACATCCTCGCGGCGCACTTTAGATGCCACGTCTTACGCCACGCGGTTACGCTTACGCTTACGCGAGTGGCCCGCGCGGTGGCCAGGTCAGAGGAGCAAATAACTCCTCCGTTGTTTTTTCGGTCGACGAGAGGCCGAGAGGAGCGAGATGGAGCGAGAGGCCCGCGCGCTCTCGTCGTTACGTAATGCGTAACGCGCTCTCGTCCGATCTCTCCGCCTGGAGATCGGCGCGGCCACGGCGGCGAGAGCGGGCGATATAACCGCGATAACGCCGTCGGAGTACCATGTCGATCGTCCGTTGCCCTCCGGAATGAGATCAACCTGAGGTAACTCGGAGAGAAACGGCCAGGTAAAAGAAAGGAAATCGTGCGAGCTGCTTTATCGGCGGCCTCCGAAAGCGTGGGCGTTACGTCACCTGCCCGCGTTGCACCTGCTGCTTCAGGGAAGTTGCAACGACGTGCGCGAACACCGTGGAACACGTTATCTGAGGAGCGTTTATCTGAGGCCTTAACGGATAACACAGATTGTTGACAGATTGTACATGAGGCAGCGTGTCCCGATCGAATTCATAATTGATTATTTGTTCGTGCCACATACCGTCGAAATATTAATATCTTAGCAAAGAAAATAAAGCATGAGTAAATTTATTATATTACCAAAATTTTTTCCGCCTAAACATCAAGGATATTTTAATTTAATTTAAATTTAATGATTTAAAATGTAATTAAATCTCAGAAAAAATTGTGCCACATGGAAAGAACAGTTTTGCTGAAAGATCTAAAAATTTAGCCGGATTACAGATGTGAAAATAATTTTAAGCAAAGAATTATTATATAGAACTTAAACATGATGATAATACTGCAACATTTTTTTGCATTCTAGCAACCAATTTGAATGTCCAACATAATTATAATTATTTTGATAATCCAACGAAGTTATTTTTAGATACCTAATAAAATTTTTATATTCCTTCTATGCAAGAATAATAAAGTTAAAAAAAAATACGACCCTAATTGATAAATGAATTCTTTTATTTTCTTTTTATTTTAAATTTCTTTTCCTTTCAATTTAAGATGTAGCAGGTGTAGATGTAACATGTAGTATAGTCCGAGACTCGAATGTTTTAGTAAATGCTTGAAGCCTAACCATAAGGCGACCATGATGTCGGCTATGGTTTTGTTAACATGTTGCGAGAGTCAAAACGCAATGGTCGACTGGAGAGGCAGATTTGTTAATCGATGCACGAGCATACCGTGGGTTTGTTTGCGTAGCGAAGGACCGTATGTACTGCACGCAGGGCAGAGAATGACTCCTCCGGGGATGCTCCGCATGGGCGTCACAGGCACATTTTCGGAAGAGGATATCTACACAGAAAATCTTCATTCAATAGCGTAAATCATAGAAACGTCATATGGAAAGAATAGTTTTGTTGGATATAGATCCGAAAAATAATTTTTCAGGGCCACCAAAATAGACAAATTAGTTGCTAAAATACAAAAAAATTTTACAGTATTATCATCATATTTAAACATCCTCCATAATAATTTTGATGTCTCAATAAAATTATTTTTCAGATCTGTATCTGACCAAATTTTTAGATCCTAGATAGCAACATTGTTCTTTCTGTGTACTGTTTTACTTCGAACATATGTACAATATTTTTCCCAAGTGAATACAAATGTGGCGTACATGTGGTATAAAATAGAAATATGAAGAATAATAGAATGTAATAATATAGTTGTTTATGAAGATATCTCTTTCAGAAGATTTTTCTTTGATTAGATTAGATGTCTGATTAATTTTAGACATAAGCGTTCAAAAAATCTTTTCCGTTTTTCTAAAGAATTTGGAAGGAATTATATTTTTAATTCAATAATCTTCCGCTAATTAACGCTTTATGTTTCTCGAAAGAGAAAGGTGAGTTTATCCACGAAAGTTAAAAAACTCTCTCGGGGAAAAAAACGCCTTTCCTTTCTTGGTGGCGCCTATGGATTTAGCCTGCGATTATTTGTCGGTCCCGTTGCCCTATAATCGTGCGGTATATGGATAATGGTTTGGGTTAAGGGACGCCACGTCGGGCCGGCGTCGAAGGAAGGCGACGTAGGGAAAGAGAGAAAGAAGGAGAGGGTGAAATCAGAGAGGAGGAACGTGTATACGCGTCGCCAGTAGCGGCGCCGGGACCAAAGCCCCTCTTTCATAAAACATAGCCCCGATGGTTTTGGAGCCCCGATTCCTCCCGTGATGATGATGGGAGATGGGCGATCGGCGAACGACAATCGGGAAGGGCCGTTCGCCGATTCGCTTCTCGAATCACGTCGGCGAGGTTCTATTACCTCGACCGGTCCTCAGCTATATACGAAACGATTTGCCTTCGGTTTCGGTTACACGCCGCAGGTTCGTGATCTAATTACGCGAATGAGTTGCGACGTGCGCCGCAACGTCAGTTGCCCGAATTGATGCCTTGTTTGTTATGACGATGGGAGCCTCGGAATTTCGCCGCAGGCTTCGACGGTGCACCATGATCAATTCCAGTCCCTCAAACGAAGAGAGAGAGAGAGAGAACAAAAGGAATCTTTCACAGCCACTTGATCTCTGATCTTCAAGTTCGTTGCTTGATGAGTCGAAAATAAAGCGACTTTGAAAGTACATTGATTTCATTTATAGCATTAAGATTGAGCGCAATATAATCAAGCGTTTCGTAAGATCGCTCGTAAAACTCAATCGCGATGGTAAAAATAACAAAATTATATTCCGTCTTCCATTTTGAATTTTTCCTAATGTTCGAGAAAAGTCAGGAAAAAGTAATATAAATGATTGTTAAGATTCCTGCTGATTTTTTTTCTTGATTAATTTATTTTTTAATATATGATTATTTATCGATTACCGGAGTAAAAGAAGAGTTTTCGATGTACTTAAAAAGTCTCAGGTTTTATTGAATGCAAATGTTATTTTATTTTAATGTATTTCGCAAGAATTTTCATCATGTGTTTTCTCACTTCATAATTCAAGATGGCTGCAAGCATTCAAGATGAACCAGCGGGAGTCTTAATACGTTAATGATCTCAAACTTTAAAAACAAAAATTGTCAAGAGCACGATAAAACTTATTCGTTAAACGTGATATCGTCACGCTTAATACGGATTAATTAATACAAATTGTGATGAAACGACAGATGGATGGACGGCTGCTAAGGACGGCGCGGGCGGGACGCATCGGCGCAGCGGTAATTTCAACGCTCGCTAACGACGGCGTTGCGGCCGCCGATCTGTTCGTAGCTTGAGTGACGTCCCGTTAAACGCGAGAGCGATTTTTCGCGACGACGTTTGTTTCATTATCTAAACGCATCCACGAAGCGACGATCGAGCACGAGAAACGAAACGCGAGCGAAGGGGTTGGGGTCCGCATGGACAACGGACAGCCAGCTAGCAAATCCGTCGACGGCGACGACGACGACGACGACGACGAAACGACGGCTGCTCTCCCCCGGCTGCAGACAGACAAAAGAGAGAAAGAGAGAGGGAGAGGAAGAGGGACAGAGAGAAAGAGACAACCAGGCGCCGATTCGAGCGACCGGCCGGCGCGAACCTCGACGCCAAGCGCGGAGCGGCGTCGCTGACGTCGTCGCCGTCGCCACCGGGCCGACCGACGACGAAGACGACGACGATGATGTCGACGACGACGGCGATGGCTAATGCAAGAATACTTTTTCTGGCACCACTACGACGCATGGGGGTGAGAGCGTTATTCGTCGGACGCCAAGCCGAGAGACCGAACTCCTCGTCTCTATCTTCAGCCGTCTTTCTCCCTTTATCTCTCGCGATGCACCCAGGACTCGCCCCCATTCGGTATTGTCATTTGAAATTCCCGATTCCTAAGGCGTGTCAACAGCGCTGTATACGAGAGTAATTGAAGGGGAAAGACGATATATTATATCTCTGTCCGAGGATAACCGACTGCGAATTAAAAGGCATTGTCTTCCCTTAATTGCAAATTGGACTTGGACTTGGACTTTCTATTGCACATGCAAGATACGCGTTGAACATCGCTTTGGATATACATCGAATTGAATTCATTAATAAATCGAGATAATAAATTTTCATAAAAAAAAAAATTTCTTTTAAATCTTTTCCAGATCTTTTCGCGCGAGAATGTTTGTATGTTACTTAGCGCAAAGCGAAAATCAGTATGCACGTTTTCCTTCAGTCACACGAGGCGAAGGTCTACAGCATCGTCTAATTTCTTTCGAAACGGCAACCCTATAATTTCCCGTTGATCGCACGTAGTTTACAACGCGGAAAGCCCGAGGAAATCCCGTTGATCGCGATCGCCACCAACACCCCTACATACAGTACGATAACTCATTTTTTTTCGGGGTCGGTATAGACGGCGCCTCGTGTAGATAGAAAGAGAGAGAGACACCCCTTCTCGTCGGGGGTATACCCATGCCAGAGCGCCTACCCCCGGCAACATCCGCGGAAAGTAGTAGAAGCGGCTGGCACCCGCAGAAGGGGCCGGGACAGGGAAGGACTACGACGGCTCCAGCGTGGGGCGCCAAGTGTTTTGATGCTTGTTATGCGAAGGGGAGTTTGATAAACAACGGGACGGAAAACGGAGCCGGTGCCGGACGGACCGGATCATCACCGTCGCGCTCCGTCCTCGCTCCTCCTCTCCCCCCTCCTCCCCCCCGGACTGGAACGGACGTCCGACCGACTGGCTGTGCCCGTGTCATTACGAAAGAATTGATATCCCGACACACTACGGCGTCATTCCGTTTTTCTAACTTGTTGTCCCGAGCACCGGCGGCGTCCCGAGCGGAAAGACGACCGTCGTTAGCGGCGATGCTGAGACGTCGCCGACGCGGCTTCCAAACAATCGCGCGATCCGAAATTTCCGGTCACGGCACACAGATCGGACTAAAAATCGATCGTGGCTTTTTTTAACTCTTGAAAGTATAAATAAACGTATAATTATAATTATGTAATTATATATTATGATATAATAATATTTATTTACATTTCTTAACGCGTAGCCAAAGAGGACTTGATTTACGTACATTACTTATAAACACGCACATTTATCTCCATCCTTCATTATTAAAATTTATTCTAAGATCAATTATAATCTATATCACTTGATTATAACATACTATAATTATATAATATAATATTTTAATATTCCACATCACAAATATTTTACTGCCTTGTAAAACATGTTTAAGAAAAGTATAATTTAGATTTTATTAAAAAAAAAATCTTTTGTTATTTATTTCGCAGACTTACAATTAGAAAAATCTCTTATTCTCGATCTGTTGGGAATATTTAAAATTATTACTATTATTCCTGATAAAAGGAAAGTGCACACTTTGTTATCCGCGTTCCTCTCTTGCGATTCGCGCGAAGAGGGAGAAGAGATTTGAGTGTGTACACTTGACGGAAATAGAGCTCAGTTTCGCGGGTAAGCAACGCGACGAAAACGAGAATGGTACCGGTGTTTACCCACTTTCCGCCATTAAAAGACGCAGGAAATCGCGCTCGCGCGTCCGTTTAATTCGCGCGTCGTAAAGAGCATCGGCTTCAAACGTACACATCGAGTCACCCTAACTGTCGCCGGAATCGAATCGCATTCATAGACGTCGAAGCGAAGGAAAGGAAAGAAAGCGGCGCCACGCACAGTAAAAACATTCAGTCGATCAAACAACTTTTAATTTTTAAAATGATAAATCGCGAAATTTATCTTAATTAGGAAAGAGGAAGAAAACTATGAGAAAAGTATGCGTCATTTTAGAAGGAAAAATTTTCGAATAATTACGCGATGCGTAATTATTACATAATTAATCACGGAACTCCGAGAGCATGGTGTATTCGAGCCGATTCCGCAAGTTCTCCACTGGTCTCGATGAGTAGTCGCTGCTCTTCCGGCCGACGCCGCTGCAAATGACATTGTTTATCCGCCGCGGGGGCAAAAAGAGTCGCCCCGAAATGTATATATGAGAGTCGCCGTCGATCGTTTGGCTTGACTCGGTCAAACACCCTGGGGTGTACCGGCGTTCTCGTTGGTCATGCATGCACGCCGGAATAACCCCTGCTACTCCCCCCCTCCCCCCCCCCCGGTAGTACTCGATATGCTGGCTGTGGGCGTCGCGCGCACATCGCGCGTACGAAGGCCGACGAAGACGGCGACGGCGACGAAGACGACGTCGTCTTCGTCGCCGTCGTCGTCGCCGCCATCGCCGTCGCCGCCGTTCTTACGTGTGCATATCAGCGGCGACGAGTCGGGGAGAGGGAAGAGGGGGAGGAGGGGGGGGGGAGGTGGCATACGTATCCGCCGAATGGCGTCAGGAGCCGCGTCGCCACGCGTTACTGGCGCGTCGTCGCTCCGCTCGCCGTGTCGCCGCGGATTCGCGCCGCGCCGGGCCGCGTCGCGCCACTCCGTTGCCGGCCGCCCTTAGACGAATAGACGACGACAGGCCGGCAAGCAGGGGTGGCGTGCAGAGAGATCCGTGGCGCACGGTGGCTCCAGTCGTCCGCATATTGCACGGCGCGCGGTGGTGTGTACCTGCTACATATTGCGCGACGGCCGGTCAACACCGCGACCAGTCGACGCTCGACGATCGGAGAGTCGAGTCTCGGGGTGTTGGCGTGTTGCCGATCCGCCGTCGCGTCTTCGTATCGTCCGTCTGGGCCAGTCCGTAAATGAAATAGGAGCGAGTCTCCGATCTCTCCGTCATTTCCGGCGATTACGCGCTTTAATCCGAAAACAAGATTTTATCACTTGCACGGTGATTTATAAGAATCATTGTCAGAGCACTTTGGCACTCATAAATCTGTATTTGATTTGTAATCTTATTTCTTTTTTTCTTTATTCATGACATTTTATTTATGGATGAAGTTTAACTTCTTTATACTAATGATCACGGGAATTACGACGAATCATGAATCTTTCATCATGAAAATATGAACGCTCGAGTATATACGTAGAATAAAGTAATTTGTCGAAAAGCGAGTTACCGGTATTAATTATAATAAACAATTTGTTTCTGATAAATTATATCAATTATGGATTATGTTAAGAATTTCTTTTTTACGCGACACGTGAGCTCCGATTCAATGTAGAAAACATGTTGACATATGTGTTTCAGATACGTGTGCCTCGTTAAAGCGACGGAATAAAAGACGCGTGATAGAATTCAGCGGCGTGCGAGGATCTTCCTCCGGAGATCTCGTAATTGGCGGCGTTTCGTACGCCGGCGTAGCACGTGCGCAGTATCTCGACCAATAGCGAGAAATCTGTAACAGGTAAGAGACAATATGAATTCAGCGAGATTGCGAAATCGGAATATAAACCGAGGACAAATTTTCTGGAGCGCAGATGCAATTTCATTTCGAGGAATGAAAGATCGACGGAAGAAAAAACACCTCCCTTATATCTCCATTCAAGTAATCCAAGAATGTACGTGCATGCGATGTGCTAAAAAAAGGAGCGATATAAACGAAGATAAATGATTATTCTCGGTCCGAAGGGGAGTTAAAGCAAGACGTTAAAGCGAGAAATTCAGCTCGCTCTAGAGAGATAAATATTTACCGCATTTGGGGAGGCGATAATTATGCCGGGAACGTCTCTCTTCCTCTTTTACGTAAAAGCCGCCGAATAAATTAGCATTGCCTCAACAATGTCGGATTTCAAATCCATTTGGTATCGCGCGCGCGATTGCATCAGACGCGATTGCGGAATGCGTCTCGAAGGCAGAGCGATGTAATCGTTACCTGCATACTTTCCGTTAATTGGCGAGCCATGAGTGGCAGGTGTAAATATAGCAATGCCGCAACTCCGATTTGTAAATATCATCGCCTCGGAAGAATCAATTTTCTCCCCATTATCTACGCTACGATGACTGCTGTATTTAGACTCGGCATGTGCAAATTTAAACGCACGTGTCGCGACATAGCGGCACCCGGCGCGGCGAGCGATCGCGGCCGCAAAAGCGGACGCGCTCCACCTTGAGAGCGGCTCGAGTGAACGAAATTCTTTCGAGGTTCAACGCTCGAGAGAGTCGCTCTCTTTCCTTCCCATTTATGTTTCCGAAAATTAGCCCTTCGTTACCCGTAGGTCGTCTTATCTACTTCTGCCATCGGTATGTATTTTCCTCTGCCTGCTTCGTCGTCGGCGCTATCTCAGCGATGCCGCGCCGTGGTGCGTCGTCGGCACGAAAATTGCCGATCGAAGCAACGGCTCTGAAAGATTAGATTCGCCAAGGTATAATTTCATATGCACGCGCCTCGACATGATGCACGGTAACGTGCGGCACGTTTCTCGCCTTTCCTCCTTGTCTTCCTTTCTTTCTCCCCCGCTATCCTGGCGCATCTCTCCACCGGTCCTGGTGCGCCAGAAGGCATGAATAAAGGTAGCGTCACGTTTTCGTCGGCGGTTTTACGCTTCGGCCGAGCGCAGCGACGATGGTGACGCCGGCGACGACGGCGATGGCGGGAGCACGGGACGAGTCCGGAGTCATTTGTGTGCGCCGGGTATGGTGAGCTAAAGAGGTACGGATGCTGACGCGCGGCGCTGGATAGAGAACAGAAGAGACGGAGAGGGGAGGGAACGTGGGGAGCAACGTGGTAGCGGCAGCGAGGGAACGGGGGGAAGCAGCCGGGACGGACAGGCGCCTACGGCGCGGATCCGAGTGGCGCCAGCGCTAATGTAAAGTCAGCATTAGCGCCGATCGCATGCATGTCCGGATCGGCCGATATCATCCAGGAAGTTACAAGTCGCACCTGTCCCGTCATACCTCTCCTACTTTGCCCGCCTCGCTTTTGCTGGCAGTGCCGTCGGCTGCGATATCTCGCCCTCGCCGACGCGACGCCCGGCCGCTGACAACGTCGACGCAGGTGTTCCGTCAGACGGCCGGCGCGGCGGTTTCGCGTCGCGCCAAAGCGGAGGCTTCCGGTGGCACACAGCCTCGCGTCCGGTATGAAAAAGAAGAGAGAGAGAGAGAGGAAACGAGGAGAACGAGGTGCGCGATCGGGTACCGTGTATCCGTTCGATTATAGAGAGAGGTTGCCGAGCACGGCGGCGTCGGCAAAAAAAGAAAGGAAATGAATTACGGCGCCGGGAGTCATTAAAAACGAAATGTATCATTGTCGCTCGTTATAATACGAGCGATAATGATACAATTACGTAGTATACGTTGGCAGTTTTGAAGTAGCTTGCGTAAAATTCCTTTCGGTTCTTTTTTTTTTTTTTTCTTTTCAGTGCCTTGTATGTATATACAAGATATTTTTGTCTCCCGTGCGCTCCCCTTCCGCTCTCGGAGACTCAGATTAACTCAAGTTACGTTTTATCGTCGCGACTTAAACGCGCGTATTTCCTCGTGGCAACCACCGGCAGAAATATCTCGGCGACACAGACGGAGGCGAGCCGGTACCAGTGGGTTTCCACACCCGTGTACACGCCTGTGTCCCTCGTTTTTATGGAACAATCGTTAATCGCATACGCGACCAGTTGATCGAATATATTTAAATCCGTGAGGAGTTAAGTAGGAACACCGGCGCCAGCGATGCAGACGATTACGTACCCGAGTCCGTCGAGCGTGCAATGCGTCGCGCCGCCCGGAGGTGCCGACCGACCGGATTTTTCCATTTGCAAACGGACGTCGATGTCGTTAATGCCAGCCGAATTTCCATAACCGGCAAGGAGAGAGCGAGAAAACGAGAGAGACAGAGCCCATATGCCGTCCGACTGACAGGTGCACAAAACGTTGTTAGCAGCGAGCGCGAACAATGGGGCGCCGTCGCGGTCGAGCGCTTTTTGTCCTTTGTAAATTTGCCGTTCAATTATAATGGGCATTCATTCTTCCTTTTTTTTGTTCCTTATTTGCAAGCATAATGTCAGAAAAACTCGATCGCTATTGATAAGACTGATTGCCGCTCGTAGTGCTGAGTTGTGACTGTAATCGTTTAGCGCCACGCGCGCCTCGTGCTTCGTTTTACATGGAATAATATATTTTTATAAGAAACGTTTACCTCTCGTCTGTCTAAACATTTAGCGCCAGCGACGTGAAATAATATGCCATTAGCTATAAAGACCTGTCCAAGCTTTCCGCGTGATGTTCCCGCGTCGGTTCTCGCGACGCAGATACGCGCGAGCGACGCACAATGATAAACAGCTAGGAGCCTCAAATGATTGGTGATCCCCGACATGCGTTCCAACACCACGTCGCCTCGGTCCATCGGGGGGGGGGGGGTTACTGGAAAAAGATTCCGCGCCGGTCCCAAGAATAGCCCGAAACGTCTCCGCGCTTCGCGGTAAGACT